TTCGAATTTCGCCATGTTTTCTTCTTTTTTTTTCTTTCTTTCGTATTTTCAGTTTTGTCTCTCATGAGGTGGGGGGTGTCAAAAGACACCCAACTTTCTTTCGATTTATTCATTAATCACAAAAATATCAAAAACCAGCTCAGTGCATATAGTCGGCAGGAAGCAATAATATTCCGGTAAGTATTAATAATAATAATGATAATATATATATATATATATATATATATATATATATATATATATATATATATATATATATACTAGCAACAAGGCCCGGCGTTGCCCGTGCTTGATTCAAAAATCGTACGACTCATACAGCAATCGCTATCACTTGACTTAAAATATTTTTGCCCTTCCTTGCCTTTAAAAGAGTGCCCTTTGCCGTGCAGATGTTGCTATATACCTTACTTCTTGCCTATCCCACACTGTGAATTTTTTCTAAGCTCTATACTAAACATTAAATCTCTTATGAAAAAAAAAAACTAAACAAAATGAACACAAAACAATCAGCTTTAAAAAAAGGACTCGTAACTGGGAAAACCGAATGAAAGAAGAATGTTAACAACAAATACTTTTTCACACCCAACCCAGTTCTGCGGAATCAGAATCAACGTTGAGTTTAAGCAAGCGAATGAGCCAATTGGAGTAAAGTGCCATGCAGATTTAAATTTTTCCCACTTGTAACGAATGCAGCTATCGATTTTTTGCATGCTAGCATGGTAGTTAACATTCGTATCAGTCAGCTGTTTGGCTCTCACGCTGGCCAATAGAATCTTCCTGCCTATTCGTGGCAGCCAGCTATTGGTTCTCATTTGTAGAAACTGTCCTCAAACTACATGAAAACTGCCGTAGAAGCATGAAATAATCGATTATTTCCACTATCGATGGGAGTTAGGAAATGCAAAGTCGATCTTGGCCTTCCCACTAACTTGAAGCATGTGCATGTAAATTTTGGTGCAAATCCGTCGAAAATTGCGGCCGTGCATTCGTTACACACACATCCTGCCTTATATATATATATATATATATATATATATATATATATATATATATATATATATATATACTTATTTATTATGCAGTGTTATATTAGAACATGCACATACCCACTACAAAACTGTACATCTTGTTTCAAAGTTAAAATATTTTCTAACGTTTCATCAGGTGGAAAATCATGATATTACTGTAGCATCGTGATTTCCCACCTGATGAAAGGTTACAAATTTTTTTTTAACGTTGAAACAGTTTTGTAGTAGGAATGTGTATGTTCTAATGTAACACTACATAATAAATAAGTATTTATTGGTCTACTTTTGTATTGATTCCTGTTTTAAATTAATGTTTTGAACGCTGAAATCTTAATCCTCGTTCATTTACATTTGTATCTATCTATCTATCTATCTATCTATATATATATATATATATATATATATATATATATATATTTCGTTTCATCTTTTGGAAGTGCTATCTGATGATCCGGTGTCCTTTAAAAGAGCTCTGGTGCAATAAATTATTATAATGGAACCTTTAATATATATATATATATATATATATATATATATATATATATATATATATATATATCAAACATTTCAACAAGTGGTAAAATGTTTAAAAATTATTTAAACGCGATAGCAATTAAAATTTCAGCGATTGGGGAGTGTGCAAAAATGAAAGAAAGCGAAATATTTTAAAACGAGCAGGAAACTTCTGGGGAATTTTTAAAAACTGGCGAACTCCGAGTTTTCAGGCATGGCTCTTATAATTGGTAGCTGGAACCGTGCTAAAACAACACAAAAAAAAAAAAATCTCACTAATTTGAGAAAAAATATCGGAAAAGTGTTGAATAATAAGCAAATCGCTTCCTATTCATACTGAGAGAGTGTTGAACCGTTTACAAACATAAAGCTTAACTGAAGAGATGTTTCTTGTTTCATGAACCCAAGGGAATTAACTCTGTAAAAACGACATTCGTAAGTTCTGGGAGAATTTCATCTTGTACACTTGTCTTTCGGAGGCATAGTAGAGTAATGGACAGCGGCTCGAATTGAGGAATCGAACAGTCGAGTACGAATTCCTGTCGGGTTTATTGCATTCACTTATGTGCTAATACCCTTAGGAAAGGTATGAGTCTCTTCTTCTCATCCCCAGCTATGGGTAAATAGCAGGACAGACAGAATCCTATAGCCTTGGAGGGTAACTGGTCTAGGAGAAGGAAAAACTCTGAATTCGAAACCATCTTGGTTGATTCTACTTCACATGGCGTCTCGAACTAAACCTACTTCGAGTCCCGACAGAAAATAATGGACTCCTAGGATTTAGTATAACTGTTTGAAGAAACACAAGACTGGCTCACGGCACGGAGTCGTGGACTTCTTTGATTTCGTATCTTTCGTCCATGGATATTTGACCCCCAGCACTTTAGACGACGACATATGTCTTTAATACTTATACTTTTTCAATTCTTAGGGCTCCCGCTCTAGTCATGTGACCAATT